AGCTCCGTCTACATCATGCAGCAAGTTCCATGCGCTCAGACCTCCTCTCCTATGTCTAGCCCCCTCCTCTGTCCCCCGTCCCCCCCCCAACCTCTTGCAGGAGCCGTGCTACAGAGAGCCAGACAGCCGGACCGGTCTCACCGACTGGACCACGGGCCTGCCGGTTCTTTCCCTCCCATGTCCCACATGTTTGTTGTCCCAGCTTGCAGCTTTGTGTTTTGTCCTAACTGCCGGTTTCAGCGGCAGGAAAACATAGGCTTTGTCTGTGGGAAACCGGCCCCGTCGGCCATTGTATGAGGGTTGTGGGTATTCTTAAAGTGCCTCTGTCATGAGAAAAGTATGAGGGTCAGCCATTGCTGACCTCTCCTTTTGAGAATGTTAGGTCCCTGGCTGTCTCAGAGATTCTTTTGGCTTTAAGTCTAAACTCCATGCATATAAAAGATGCAAAATAATGCAGCTGCATCCATGAGTACCCCTTATTGGTCATGTAAGCAGTGTGGGCACCTAACTTTGACATGGTATCAGCTTCTAGCAATCCCTGTACAGCGGAGCTCAGACTGGGGGAGGAAGAAGCAGCACAAGGGGCTCAGCAGGTGTGCTGCATTGTAAAGAACATGCTGATAGGAGGAGAAAGCAGAGATGAGTTCATCAGTCTTCTTCTGCTTCTCATTTCACTGTCCAGTCACAGGCTGGGGCAGCGGCGAGACTTGTAAGTGTTACTGACCTGCGGCAGAGAAAAGTCAGGTCGCAGAGCTGTGTAAATATCAGCCCTGGAGGGACATACCTGAGACATAGAGCCTGGTCACGTATGCAGTCATTGTATGTATATCTCCGTGTACGATTTGGAAGCGGATCTCTGAATTGGTCATAGTTGGCCGTACACATTCACTCCATGAAGTACATAGAACTCTGATTCCAAAATAAAGCACTCGGGGGTCTCTATAGCTTTCCAATGAAAGTCATATGCCAAGGACAAGGTCAAAGTTTCACGCTTTTAGCATCACATTGGCCAATTCATTTAAAGGGTCGGAGCGCTTTGCTTTCAGTGTTGAACAAGCCCTCGTCCTGACCCTGACACAGAGTGCTATTGGTGCCTTCTATACAGCTTCACGTGACGTCACATCTTATTTATCACCATCATAAAACATGTCCCTGTTGGGCGAGTCCCTTCCCCTTCTTGGATTTTTTATTTGTTTTATGCTCTGGAGGAGGTGACGGCAATAAATCAGGGCACCCATTTAGGAAATAAGCGTCGAGAGCTTTAGTAAGGTGTGGATCTGCAGGGGTTAATGTATAACCAAAGCTAATTCTTTCTTTTCTTTCATTTTGGATGGGATGGGGAATGGGTAAAACCCATTTTTCTTTATTTTTTGTGCCCGTCTGTGTCACAATCGGGAGATTCCCCCTTTTACTTCCTGTGCTGTAGACAAAACAGGAAGTAAGGGGAAATCCCTTTTAAGGATGTTAGTTGTCAGCAAAACGGGTGTCCCCATTGGAAGTCTTCTCTTCACCTCCTGTTCCAGTGACAACTGTCCAAGAGGTGATTTTTTTTTTTCCCATCGATTTGGAAAGATTTCCTCTGGCTTCCTGTAAACTATAACATTTTAGATTTTCCATCACTGCCTGTTCTATTTATTACAGGTATTTATTTAGCTCCAGCAATTTACGCAGCACATTCAGATCAGTCCCGGCCCTCAAGGAGCTTACAATCTCCGGTCCCCATCTTGCATACATGCGAGGGCTGATTTAGACAAGAGCCAATTAACCTTCCAGCATGTCTGGGGTGTGGGAGCAAACCGGGGGGACCCGCAGGAGACCCACATAAGCACAGGGAGGACATGCAAACTCCATGCAGAGTGTGTCCTGGCCGGGATTCGAACCGGGGACCCCCAGTGCTAACCACTAAGCCTTTGTGCTGCCCACCTGGAGACAACTGTAACATTTCGGGTTTTCCATCACTTCCTGATGACCGTAGTTACAAGGACATGCACAGGAGGTGAATCTCCCCATCGGGCACACACACAGCAATCGTGTAGACACAGTGTCTGCATCCAGGGCCAGTCAGAGGCCCTATTCCCTATGACACCCCTTGGTTGCATGCTATTGGCACCTCCATACAGCACCGCACCCTTACAGCCACAGAATGGGGGGGTGCTTGGCTTGCGGCGATGCCATGTGAATATGATAGGAAATTGCCAGCACACCAAAGATGACTTCAATACTTTACTGAGGCCAGTAATGCAAAAAGCCCAGATACAGGTTAGAGTGTTAGAAAGACCTCATCCACCTCTGGCACCGGCTGCTTCTTTATCAACTGATAAAAACCTGGCAGAGGCTCCTAATCCTCGCTATAAGAACCTAAAAAGTTTAGATCAAAGAGGAAATCTCCAGCCGAAAATAATAAGATAAAAAGGAATAGCCCAGTGAAATATTCAGCTGAGAGTTTTCCCTGCTGTCCTTC